GGGGCGGGGCAAGCGTTCTAACTGGGTAACTGACACTTTTGGTAGGTCACGTACAAACGCCTCTGGGTTCCCAGCAAACTTCAGCAGCCCACAAGAACATCCCACCGACACCTGCTCCAGGAGTCCCGGAAGTTTGAGGACCTGGTGCACATGCATAACCTACTTTAAACTCTGGGTTCTGATTCGTATGCGGGGTGTAGCCCCAAACCTGCTTTTCGGATGAGCTCCAGGCCACACCAGCATGGGTGGTCTGGGGACCTCAGTTTGCAGGAAAGTTCCAGAGGAAGGAGGCTTGTACCAGTCCCTCTGTCAGCCTGTCTCGGGTCGTGGGTGGTGCACAAAGGATCCTGTGTATGGACCCCTGGAGGCTGGCCCTAACTCAGGGACCCACACAGTCCAGACTGATGTGGGATGCGTAGAGGGCTGAGCTTTCTCTGGACCGTCCTGGGACCTTCCCATCCCTACCACAGTCTCCTAGGGGAGAAAACAGGCTTTCCAAGGTGAAGACGCTTCTCAGAGCTGCTCCGAGCCACTGAAGGAACAGTAAACACTCAGGGACCAGGCACCGCGCCAGGTGGCTGATCTAACCCGCCGGGCGGCCCAGGGGCGGTGGAGACGCTCCTCCTCCATGGGGGTGGAAGGGCGCTCGAGGCTTCTGCGGGCCGGTGACTCCGCTGGAGGAGTCAGGGTCGCACCTGGAAACGGCCATCCCTCCATCTGCGGGACTCCAGAGCCCCTCCAGCCACGGCCTCTTCACACCTTGAAGCAATGCTCTCTTCCTTCCAGGCAGATCACGGAGGGAGAACACACAATGCCAAGAGTGCAGCGTCCAGACCTCACTCCCCAGGGCCCGCTCGTTGCTGGGCTACCATGTGGGTGTCGGGTGGGGCGTCTGCCAACCTGCGAGGCCTGTGGGTCACCCTGGAGCATCAGATTTCACGCAGGGTTGGGGCTGCTGAGGGCTGTGGTTGACGTGCCCAAGTCCTTGTTGTGGGACTCACACGGATGCAAGCTGGAGTCCCCAGAGGTGCGAATTTCCACCTGAGCCGAGTCAAGATACAGATCTCGCAAACCTGACCACAGGGGCTCCGGAAATCTCTGCTCGTGCCCAGGAGTGCGTCAAGGACACGGGGCAGCGGGAGCCATGCTCAGCTTCTCCATTTCCTCTCCGCTTGCCAATCACTCCCGTCTTGTCTGATGAAGCCACCATCAGCCTGTGCTCTGCCGGAGCAGCCGGGAAGCAGGGCAAGGGAACATGTGGGTCAAGGGAGGCGGACGTGGTCAGCACGCGGATGGCCAGCCCAGCCCACTGGCAGGGAGAGGGCCGACAATGCCTGTTGTCTCTGCCATTTTTAACTTCGTTTGCCAGTGAAACAGCATAACCGAGCACGTCCACTTGCTGGACATCCTTTTTAGAAAAGGTCCTCAGCCTCCCTAGAAGCGCACCAGCCGCCGCTGCCTGGTTAGTGGCCTCCCGCCGAGACCAGCGCAAACCAGCGTCCCTTCCAGAGGGCACGTGGGTGTGTCTGCCCCTCTGGCTCCTTTGGCACAAGGGTCCCTGAAAAGGCACTTCTTTACCTGGTACTCTTGGCTGGGCTAAGCTGGTGGTGGGTGGAGGCTGCAGAAATCAAATTTAGGGCAGGACAGCACTGAACTCAGAGCCACACTGGGCACCTCCCCACCCGTGACGACCCAACCTCAGGCTGACGCAGCTTCACTATTTATGCAAATGGGTTTTTACAAACGTGTTCAGCTGGCTCTTTCCCGACTGGCCTGCAAAGCTCCCCTGGGACCCAGAGGTGGACGAGCCCGCGGAGAAGAGGGCGGGCAGGGACAGAGGCAGAGGCACCGCCACCTCGATGTGACAGCCATCGTTTCCTAAGGCACAGCAGCGCGGCAAACGTACTTTACATCGAGGTACATTTTACTCTTCACGGATACAACAGAGTTGAACCAAACATTCATGCTTTCGCTGCGTGGTTCTTACTTGTCACCCCCTTCTTCGAAGACAACAGAGAAGGCCGGCGCCCCAGACCACTTCGTGACAGTCACGAGTGATGTCCCCACGTGAAAATCCACGACAATGCCCTCAGCTGGCTGAACGCAGACTAACCGCCTGTTGGCGAACCTTTCCCGAAAGGAAGAGCCCGGCTTCTTCCGAGCAAACGACAGACGGTGCCTCCCTGAAGCGGCGCAGCATCGCCACAGGGACGGGAGAGGCGGTCTCACGTCCAGCCGGAAGGCCAGGGCCTCAGGGCGGGCGGCCCGCCGCCTGGAGGAGGAGACTCCAAGCCCCACCTTCCTCGCCCCGTCACTTAACGGAGGAACCTGACCTGCTGCTGCTGCGGCTCGACGCTTCCCCATCACTGTTACTCCACAGCCAAGGAGGATCCAGGAAGCACTTGTGAACCTTACCTGCCCCGGAGTCAGAATCACCAACGACAGCTGTCATGATACAGTGTAATTTGCTTTGATTCTGGAACATCTTAGACCATCATCTCTTTAAATACTGCTTCAGTGCCTCTGTCAGACACGAAGCAGGTGCTCGAGCCTTTGCAGGGGGGTCTGGCGCATTTAAGGACTCCCAGCGGCGGCGTGGGCGTGTGAACATGTGTGATTTCTACACAGGAGAAGTGATCCTGCTTCTCATTTACTACTAACACCGCGAAGGAGGATTCAGGCCTCAAGCTCTGCCAAAGCCACCCACTGCCCCCCGGAACAATGTCAGCAAGAGCAGCGAGCAGCACGGCCACAGCGACCCGGGTCACCCCGCCCTCCTGGAGGAGGGGGCGGTGATGCTGGTCGCGGGGGTGGGGTGGGCACACGGCAGCGCCATGTGCTTCCTGTGAGGATGGGAGAGAAACGGGGTGTCCCCCACCAAGCGTGGAGGGACGGGGCGGTGGTTACCTTGCTGCAGACGGCCTTCACCCTGTGCAGCCTGTCCAGCGACTCCTGAGGGTTCCCCAGGTACTGCTGAAGCTCCGCGTGTAGGATCCGCATCGAGAAGGGCACCATGGAGCCTGCAGGTAAGGTCAGACAGAGTTAGGCTGTTTGCTGTGACCGAGCACGCTCTCAGACTCGGATTTCTTCCGCTGGCCCAGCACCTTTCTGTGGTGCGGGGACAGTCTGACCTCCCGCCACCTGCTTGTCCTGTGTGCTGGGCGGGTGGCATCCTCTCAACCTTTCTGGTCATCTGCCCAGCAGGACAGGGGACTGGGATGCGGCCAGGCTGCTGGGAGGCCAGGTGTGTGAACAGATGAGGTGGACGCGCAGAGAGCACAGGCACCCTGGATCCTCTGCCCACGGGTCATGGGCTCAACTCTCCCACGAGGCGCAGTCGTAGGAAGTTTGTCTCGCATTTCTGTCTAACTCTGCAGGTAGGTGGGGCCTGGAGCCAGGACCCTCTCTGTACCTGCTTCCCTTGACCCCTCCTTCCCCCGTGGGCCGGTCTTTCTCGCTTCCACTGCCCCATCGTTGGGACACAGCTGGGTGATGTCTGCGCCCCACCAGGAGCATGGTGCCCACACCCGCACCATCAAATAGCCCTCAGCCAAACCACCTCCGCCCTCAGTGCTGCATTTGTGTCAAAACCCAGCCTGACCAGGCCCTAGATGACTGTTATCCACAGGGCAATTCAGCGCTGCTCCTGGGGCCCCGTGGCAGGAGGGGGCTCATGGCGGCCAGGCACGCGCCCGCGCACACGTGAACCCACAGGGATCATGTTGTGCAAGTAAGATTCATATGAAGTCATTACAGCTCAAATCAGTTAAGCTAACACACAGACCTGAATTTAGCACCAGAGGAGCTGCGTCCATCTGTGTTATCTGTTAAACAACACACTGAAGGCGACCAAGATGTGTCCTGCGCCCCAGCCGGCCCAGCCACGTGGATGGCCGTGGCCACCTGCTGGACAGGGCACCTCGACTCCAAGCTCTGTGCCTAACATGCCATTCCCAGCACCACTCCTTTCCAACGAGAGAGAATGCCAAGGTCCAGACTACAGAGACGGCGCTGGGGTTCTGGTGCCCTCACCGCCGTCGGGGCTAGAAGGAACCCCATCGGGAGGACACACGGTAGCTCTGTCCGAAGGGGACGTTTCGTCTTTTTTGAAGATAAAAATCAATGAATACGTACAACTTAAAGAGTGAACCCAACTGCGCACTATGAACATTTGTTAAAAATAACGTATTAACACTGGTATCAAGTGTAACGAATGCACAAGAGAGCACGTCGTTTGTAAAAAGCACAGGGGATGGTCCTGTAATATTACCCACGACCTAAACTCTGCAACAGCCTCTGAACACAAGCCCGCCAGGAGGAGACGCCACCTGACCGGTGTGACAACTGCAACATCAGAAACAATTTGATTAATCAGGGGGAGGGGACAGCTTGGTGGCAGAGCGCTTGCTTGGCACGCACAAGACCCTGGGTTCAATCCCCAGTACCTCCATTAAAAGATAAGTAAGTAAGTAAACCTAATTACTGCCTCCCCCAAAAATAAAAAACTAAAAAAACCTGTTTGATTAAAAGCAAATTAAAGAGGTTATGACGGCAAATGAGGAACGGCTTTCAAAAGAGGAACCATGGGAAGGGTTTTGAAAAGGGATTTTGAAGCCTAGACAGGAAGAGTAACTCTGAAGTTGTCAACATTACAGGCAAACTAGAACAAAAACACTTCATTTTGAGAAAAAGTTGGCGTCCGTGACCCTCTTGCTTTCCCCACAGGGAGGTGACGTGGTGACAGGTGTCCAGAGGGCTGGACGCTCCCCCGGCTGTGTGGGGAGGTACAGGGGTGCGTCTTCAGGGACAAAGATGACTTGGGCGGGGACCGTGGGGAGACGCTCGTGAACCAACTGCGCCCCTGTCCTGTCCCCGTCACAAGGTACAGCAGCAGGTGGGGGAGGAGCTGGGTGGACCCAGGGAAGTGGCCTGTGACGGCACCGTGGACGGGAGGCCCGGGTGGCCTGAGCTCGGCGCAGGGTCTGTCGGCTGCTTCACAGAGTCTCCTTGAAGGACACGCCTCCCGGAGCGACGGCCACGCCCGGGGCCGGTGCTCAGCAGCAGCGAGCGTCTGGAAGCTGGCCCGCAGGCGTCTGCACTGTTCCAGCCCGCCGGGCACAGCCCAAGGACCGAGGTGGGTGAGTCCGCACCATTATTTCTGAGACACCAGGATGTGGACGCGAGAAGACGACATTCCTAAAATGGGATCGTTTGCCAACAAAAAGGTCATATTGGTTACTTCTTAGGGGCAGAAACAATGCTTCCCAGAATGGGAGAAGATGTGTGCAAGGTCCATGAATGAAGGGCTAAAACTTAAACATGTAAAGAACAGCAGCAAATCAGTAACAAAAAATAACCCAACAGGAACGTGGGCAAAGATTATGGAGGAGTGAGCTCCTCACGGGGAACACACGGGACATTTAGCTCAAGAAGCTGAAGCAAGAGGTAGAATTTCAGCCCCACCGGGAAGAAGGCCGACCACACCTACGGGCCCACAAGCGGGGAGACAAGCCCTTCAATACACTGGTGCTCGGGGTGTAAGTCAGTACAGCTGCTCTGGAAAGTCCTTTGAGCATTCCTTTGAGACTGAAAACACGAACGCCACACACGCCAGCGACGCCTCTCCTAGTTGCACCTCAGAGACGCGCAGGGACACGTGGGGAAGAGAGGTGAAATGAAGACAGGCAAGCGCCTCATGTGCGCTGAAACCGCCTACGGGTCTCCCCGCGGCGTGTGGTGTGCGCTGCGTGCGCGAGGCGGAAACGCGACAAGCGGGTCTGGAAACCAAGTCACGTGCAGCTGCTCCGGGAGGGGTGGAAGGGGGGCGCCTGGAAGGCTGAATCGGTAACGCTTGGGCATGTCACAAAAAGGTCTGAAGTAAATATGAAAAAATGTTAATATCTGTTAATTATCTGAGCACTTAACTCTTTTTTGGCATTTAAAAATTTTTAATTTTTGTTGAGTAACCGACTGGTCGGACTTCCAGGCGGGGCTTCCGTTCCTGCAGCAGCGGCTTCGGGCAGGACGGGCGCCCTCAGGCCGCGCTCAGCCCCTCTGCCAGGCAGGGAGGGTACGTGACATCAGGCTGCCACCGCGGCTCCGGCTCCGCAGCCACTCGCTGCTTGGACGTCCCCTACCGGCGCCTGTGCTGTGACGACCACAGGGGCTCGGTGGCCAAGTGTCACTCTAACATGTCACACCCGCTGCGTCCCGTCGGGGCGCAGGGGACCTCACGGCAAGGAGGAGAAGCGAGCTGCCTGCTCACGGCCCCAACCATGGCTGCTGAGCACCGCAGCGGCGCTGGGGACGAGCTCTTCTCCCACTGCAGGCGGCCTGAGCAGACGCCTGGTTCCAGCGGCTCCTCACCCGCCCTCCGGGGCCCGGAGCTGCGGGACGCGTGTGCAGCAAAGAAGGGAAGACACGGTGGACGGCGTGCAGGACAGGGGAGGACAGAGCCAGGCGACGAGCAAGGGAGGAGTCAAAGGAAAGCAGCACAAACCACGCAGGACTCAGCGCGGGGCCTCTGGGCCTGGGTCTGTTCAGTGACCACTGCTGTCAATCTTTCCCGGGAAAAAAGCGAGAATTCCAAACAACTGACTGAAAGATAGTCTGAGTGTGTGGAAACACACACTCCATCCTTTGCAGAGGCTGAAACTAGCTCCATGAAATTGCTAGAAATGTCAGAGAAACACGTAAGACCACAGTACTCTTCCTTTCTTGGATGAAAATTAAATTTTTTCATGATTTTTACTCATGATTCATTACTTCTAATGAATATTCTGAATGGGTAGAAGTTATGCCCAACATTCAAATAAAATGTATTAAAGCTCATTCATAAAAGTTATTGATTTGTCTGTATCATTACAGCTTCCCTTTTAAAGCACATTTTAACGACTTGCTCTGCTTACGTACTGCAAGCTGAAATGAAGGAATCAGACCGTTCCTTTGTGCTTGTTACACCACAAAACGAGAAGAAAAATTAGTAAACATTCAGCACAATGTCATGGATGAATGTTAACACGCTTTAGCTAAAATACAAGCTTTACGTCTGTTTCGTAATTTAAATTAGCTGCTTAATGATGCGCAGGTCGTCTTCTCTCTACCCCTATCCCAACGCAGTCTAGCTTCAGGGGGAACCAGAAGTGAGCGTTCCAGCCTGCACATCCCCAGGACGCAGTCCTGATGGCTGGCGGAGGAGGACAGCTCCACAGCTGGACCCCAGGACCGCGCTCTTCATCTCACAGGAGGCTCAGCTTCGTCTCCACCAAACCCCTGCCCGTGAGGCGTGAGCAGGACTGCACGTCCCCCGGACTCCATCTGCCACCCTGCCCTGGACCCGGTGATGCTCTGAGCACAGGGGCTGGAGGTCAGAGAGCAGCTGGAGCTTTCACTGGCCGCCACGGAAACACTGCTTTTAGGTCTCGTAGTCATTCTTAGACAAAGTGCGGCAAATTCAGAAGCCACGGATGTGTGAACAGTCATTCTGAATACACAGTTCACGTGGCCCTCAAAAGGAAAAGAAATGCGAGCGTCCTCACGTGGCTGTGTGCTTTAGGGCGCCGTAGTTCAGAGTCACTGAGTGATGGGCCTGTGTGCTCCAAGTTCAGAGCTCTTGTCAGCACCAGATGAAACACCGACCCCCGCTGCTGGTCCCCAGACCAGCAGTGGGTCCGGCCCAGCGCCCGCGAGCACGACCAGGTATGAGGCAGGCTGGTGGGGGAGCGGGTGGCCACGGTCAAGCAGGGTGGGAGAAATACGTTTTCCTCTGCTGAGGGGAAACACAGCCGCCCCTTCAACAAGTGTGAGAACAGTCACCTCTTGATTCCCGAAGCTGCTGGGCCTCAATGATTAAACACAAACCTCCCAAACCTCCGCAGTCAACATGCTCTAACCTCTGCACTGAACGCCTTCCGGGCAGAACCACCAAGGAGGGGCAGCAAGGCTCCTCCTCGCTTGGGTGGAGGTCGTCTGCTCACGGCCACCCATGGAGGGGTGGCCCTCACGCGGCCAGAGGTGCAGCTGCAGAGGCACTCCGCTGAGCCACCAGCGGGAGGAGGGTGCCCCGAACAGCCTGCAGACACTGTCCCCTCCACACGCGCCCGGGAGGACGTGGGACTTCCTCGTGGAGAAGGGGGGCCTCCTGGCACCGGGTGGAGGCGGACAACATCTGGGAGAGGAGGGAAAGGTGACTGCCTGACCCGCGGGGACACCGCAGACTCCGGGAGCCCTCCCACCCTTCTTGCGCCAGGCCGGGCAGCACCACTTGCTCCCCAGGGGCTCCCCGGCTTTGGCCAGTTCTCCCCGGGACCCTGCAGCCCCTCCCTGACTCTGTCTACACAGCACGGCTGCTTCGCTCCATGCAGTCAAGCCACCCAGGCCAGACAAGCCTACTGATTTGACTTTTTGAAACTTCTACAGCAATTACTGTCTTTACT